TGAAACCTATATGGGATCAGGTGCTGCTCAATTGCTTCAAGTTTCTTTCACGTTGCATACCTTTAGGGGCGACTGGAAATTGGTATGCGCAATCGAAGAAGAAAAATATATGTTGTCAACAGCATAAATTATCATATACAGACACACATATGTATGTGTTTGTATGTGTGAGTCCTATTAAACATTTTGTAAGCGGCTTATAGCTCAGTCGATTTGAGTGTAGAAAAATGTTGAGCAGCCTACGGCTAAACTAGTTCAATACTTCTAGACATATGTACACATATGCACACATAAATGTAAGTATATTAGGCTGTTAGAGCAACCAAACAGTTGGCCAATAAAATCTTGTTAGCAATCAAAGCGAAAGCTGGAAGAAAAGGACCCACACGAAAAAGTCGAGACAAACGCAAGTCGGAATACAAAAGTCAAACTTTTAGCCAAGGAAGCCGGCAAGCTAACTTTTAAGAAAAATATGTGCTAGTAGAAAGCCAAAAGCAGACGTGAATGCAGGCAAAAGACGCGTCTCTCATTTCGCAGGAAACGGAAGGCTGGCGAAGGAAGGATAATGCCCGGCATGCGTAACGCATAAGCGGCAAATTCCATTAAGTGCCAAGCAGCAGCAACAACAATCAGAACGAACAAGAAGAAGAAGACCAACAAAAACAAAGAGTAGCCAACAGAGTAGATAAGTTGGTGGTTGGGTCGGATGGGGCGGGCGGGGGGCGGGGGGTTTAGCGGCGAATTAAACTGATATGAAGCGAGCGTTGCCAGAGTTGCCGCTGCGTCAAGGCAAATAAACATTTTTTATATGCCTTTTGATGAGGGTGTGTCAGTGTGGGTGTGTGCGTGTGTGCGTGTGTGCGGGTGTGCCTGTGTGTGCGGAACGAGAAAATAAAATTTCAATTTACAAGTGTATAACTGGGTCAGTCAAGTCTGCGGATTCGGATTTTGATTCCGTGGCGATGCTGTCGCAGGATCGTAAAGGAATTCGGTTTTCTTTTTTCCCCTTTTCGTATTTTAAAGCCAATATAAACAGTTTATATGCATCGATTTACGGTCATATATGCACAGTATTTACGCGCATAAATACGCTATGATATTTGCACTATTATAGCCGCAAAGAACGCAATTTACTATAAATGGAGCTCATTTAATTCCACAACATTAATGCCCGTTCTTTACATCCAAATGATTTTAATTGCGAACCTATAATTTATTCAAAAACCTATGAATCGTATTAGCCTGCAATTCAACCGCAATTATCAAGCATAATATATACAATAAAGTACAGGCATTTAATTTGCTTTATTCAATTGCTTATTTCAATGCATTTCCATCTGTGAAATGAATAATAATCGTGATATTTCAATTATCTAATGGTAAATTCGAGTTTTATTTTCTATCACATTTCGGTTTGAATTCCGCAGGAATGTTTATTTAGCCCAAAATTTCCATCTCATTTATTGACATTAATGATGCGTACTTTTGGGTGCTTTTAAGATTTTAAGTCAGCAATTTACAGACAATGTAATACAAACCAAAGAAAATATAGCAATTTATCTTTATTTACGTAGCAATACGATCTTGTAAATGTCAAAAATTTAATTTACAAAATTAGATGAAAATAAAGCAACAGTAACAGTTGTCCCAAAAATGTTAATTATCTGTTGTGGGCTAAACGCTGGACTAGGCTAGTTCCAAAAATAGCCAGGACATGAACCGCAAACGAAAGCTTTCAGTCGGTTACTTAACAGCGCACAACAACTTCCACAAGGCTGTTAAGCAACAGAATGTTAAACAGCAAACGACAAGGACTGAGCCGAAGAGTTCAACGTACAGTAAAGGACATGTGTACAGGAAGAGTGATATAAAGAGAATGAAAACGAATGCATTTTGCTTAACCCAATTAGTTTGCTATTTGAAATTACAAGCACAAACACATAACACACTCGCACACACACAAAACAGCTGCTCGGATTGACAAAGTGCTAATTATACCCAATATCCTGTAGGACCCACAGCAGCGGGCACAAAGAACGTCAGGGACCGTGAAGAATGATATGCCCTCTACAAAGACAATTGTTGGGCACAATTGACAAGTGCCGAACAGCAAAGGGAACAACAACTGAACGACTGCATTGTTGTTGAGACATAAACCCACACACACACACACACACGTGCCTGGGCTTGCAAATAGAGAGCTTCATGTGGCATAACCTCTTTCTATTCCCTCGCATGAAAGTCGGTATTAATATTGGAGACAATGGGTATGACGCTGTCGAATTTGCAAATTGAATTGTAATGAAGCTATGCAAGGACATATACCTAGCCCCTTTCCCCTCTTTGCACAGACCCTCTCACTTTCTAACTTTACATCTCTATTGAAATGGCTTAACACAGTGAGCAGACATGTTTTTTGTTTGCCTCCTGCTCTCATATTGCCTGCAGCTTCCTGCGCTATTGTAGGCAGGCTAATGGGCTTACGCATCTACAAGCATTTACGCTCATATTGTTTTTATCTACGTATTTATTTGCGGTTGGTTTGCGGCTTACAGCAGGCTATGCGCTCTACAATATGTAAACATTTGTGTTAAATTCCCTATCTATCTAAACGAGCAGTGCGCGAGCGTGTGTTTGTGTGTGTGTATGTGTCGGTGTATGTGTGAGTGTGTGTGTGGGTGTTAACGACACTTGACTGTTGTATGCACAGCTTTTGCAAAAATGAATTGCATCTCTTAGGCGGAAGCTATTTAATGTTAATTGTTTTTTTTTTTTTTAATTGTACAGCAGCGATTGGAGTATACCCTATACGCCTTTAGCGGGTTACAGGGTATGTTACACTTGCGCTTTCCATCATAATCAGACCAAGACTTATCCAATTTGCATATATACTTAGGTTGTTATTGCCTTGCTCGTCAGTCCGATCTAGACAAGTAGGAGTTTTGTATATCTTTTTTGTGCGCATTCATACTTACTTTTTTTTTAAGGTAAGTAGTAGATTTTTAGCTGCACAATAATTGACGAAGGCCAATCATACTGTTTCCAGTCTGGATATTTCCTTCTGTTTCATATGCCATATCTGATCGCATTGTGACAGATCCCATAAACAGCATATCTGATAGTCGGGCTGTCGTTATGGGATTCTGGCACTCTCATTTGCTATCTTTAATTCATTGTTGGCATAATTTACCCACAGCATTTATTGAAAATTATTTATGTCTCATGTATGCACTGGCACTTGTATTCCATGTGCCTTGGGCGGAGTAAATAAAGAATGGCACTGTCATAAAAATATTATTGCACCTGGCATTTTAACTGAGCTCTGCTCATATTTGATTTTCAATTTGCCCATGTGCTATGTACATTTAATAAATGTGAATGAAAAAATTAAATTGAATATTTCATGATGTCAACTTTCAGCGCGATCAGGCGGCAGTTGCAGCGTTATTTCAATTTATGAAATTTAATGTGCCACAGGCAATTGAAAAATTGCGGCTTACCGATAAAAATTAACGCAACACTTAAATTTAAAATCTTTCGCACCTGCCGCTCACATATAGGTCAATGGAAACGAAACAACAAGAAAATACCTATGCAATATATGCCGCACTCTAATATACATCTCTACTGATCCGAATAACTGGGCTACTTCAACGGAATTTCGTCGAATTCCGAAGAAATGGAGCATTTTCGGTGTATTATTTAGATATAATTTCCGCGGAATTCTAGCTGAAAGGCATTTGCAATCTAAATATTTGGTAGACAAAAATATTTAAACATGTTTATATAAAAACTAAAAATTTCATATAAATCCCATCAACGAAAACAATGAAATTTTTGTTGTCTCCTCTTAGGAAATTAAATGTATCTCGCTACACTATTCACTTGTGTTTTAATGTATTTATCACAGCTTTTGAGATATTAAAGTTATATTAAAGTTGGAATAACATCTTCACCTATTAATATAATATGCTGTTTCATATCGATCAAGTATCTGCACAATGTATTTGTAGCTATTGTTCGCTTCCTTTACGATTACTCTGCATTTAATCTCTCTTAAAGCATTTAAATCTGTATTAATTTTCACCTCAGCCCAACGGTGCGGAGCCCTTCCTTATACTTAGCTGTCAGTTCAATTAAATTACACAACATACTCGCGGCATTTAAAGCACAAAAAGACAAATAAGATTGTTGCAATTGGCTGTAAGGGACTGCGTGATACTCTGTAAGCAATGCAAATGCTTATTAATTAAGAGTTTTTACAGTGTCCTTCGAATTGTAACTTAAACATGTGGGAAGATCATTTTGTAGGTTTCCCACACAGAGCTTTCAATGTGCCGTACGGGCTATCTGCTAGTTGGGCAATCCTGCCTAGAGCATGCTTGTCTGTTTATTCAAGTTTTTGGCTCGTAGTGCACGTGTCCCTGTCCACCAAGCTCATTTAAACAGTGGATTCTTGCTGATGACTAGTGATTTTTCAGAAACTAAAGTGTTGTCAAGTTGGAGCGAGGCTAATAAATCACCTTTGTTTCGCTGAAAAGTTTTCACCCCAAAACGGAATTTACAAAAAGCATCCCCAATAGCAATATCAGTAAAACATAAGCAATGTCCAGGTCCACTTGTCCATGTCCTTGCCAACGTGCAGCAACTTTAAGCTGCTTTGGACACATTTCAGCCAGCCCTAGCGGGTCAGGGGAATGCTGGGTTGCAAGGGAATGCCAGTGCATGCTAATTAAATGCAACAGCGGGCAAGGGGTAATCGGAAAGTGGTAACAACGACGTAAGTCGCATTCAGTTTGAATGGATTTTTGCAGTTGTGCCTGTTTAATGGACAGCATTTCGGCGAGTATTACGCAAAATGCACAACAACAACAAACGTTTTTTTATGAGTGTTAACGCTTTGAATGTGCCACGCCTCATAAATATTCAAAATTACAGCGCAATTATCGCGCACAGTTGAGACGGCGTGGCGATACGGAAGAGCTGCGAGCTGAACTTACCCTTTATGAAATCGACAGCCATCTCCAGTCCATACGTATCCTTGTCGCAGTCATCCAGTAAATGTGCGCCGAGCGTTACATTTGGCAACAGTTGTTGCTTGTTTACCTGGTCCAGTGTGTAGAGCATGGCCTCCAGGGCTTGTATGCCGCCCTGCGGCATGATCTGGCCACAAGTAATGCTGTCCTCCCGCGAATGTACCATCATCAGGCCACCGAGTATCACGTCGCCCTCGAGCACGGCGGCATGTTTTACTGGCCACCCGGAGGCAGATGTCGGGGCGCTGCTGGCCAGCGGATTACTCAATATATTGGCATTCAGTTGCGACAAGTTTGTGGCCCCCTGCCAGCGCGGCCTACCTTCAATTGCTGCTGTTGCTGTTGCTGTTGGTTTTTCTGTTGCTGCTGCGCCAACAGCTGTTGTTGCTGTTTGCGAATTACTTTTATTATTTGCCTTTATGATGGCTTCTGCGTTCAGCAATGTTGCATTTGCAGTTGCTTTAGTTTGTATTATATTTAATTTGACTTTTGTGTTGTCCACAGCTGTTGCATTTGTTGTTGCTGTGGCCAACATTGTTGTTGTTATTGCTATTGCAGTCGATGTTGCTGTGGGCGCAATGCGTTTAGTTTTCAGTGGGATTGCTGTGGCCGCCATTGCGTATGAGATATTTTTTGTATGTGTTGCTGATGCTGCTGTTGTCAATGGTTGCAATATTGCTGCTGTTTTTCTCAATTCTGTTGCAGGCAGTTTTAGTTTTTTTCCAGCGGCAACAGCTGCCTCGGCTTGACCCTCATCATTTTTTATAGCGCCTGTTCTTGTTTTCGTTGCTGGCGCTGCTGTAGTCGCTGCATTCAAATTGCCACTTAAGGCTAACGCGGCCAGCTTTGAACTTTGACTTCTCACCGTCATTATTGTCCCCCCATCTATACCTGGCAACAGCTTTAATTGCTGTGTTGCGCTTTTCCGGCTCTTCATCATCAACTGCTGTTGTTGTTGCTCTTGATGTAGCTGCAATTGTTGCTGTTGGTGTTGCAAATGTTGTTGTTTCTGTTGCTCTTGTTGTAGCTGCCATTTTTGTTGTTGCTGTTGCTGTTGTTGCCCGTATTGTAACTGCAATCGTTGCTCCTGCTCTTGTTGTAGCTCCAATTGTTGCTGTTCTTGCTCGTGTTGTAGCTTCAAATGTTGATGTTTCTGTTGCTCTTGTTGTAGCTGCAATTGTTGCCGCTGCTCCTGCAATTGTTGCTGTTGTTGCTGCGCTTGGCACAGCTCACAGGCCATTAGCAGCAGCATCAGCATGCATTTTGCAACGCAGAACACCATTTCGTACACTCTGTTGTGTGTGGGGGTGACTGGGTAGGTGTGTGTGTCAATTGTTCAGTGTGACAGCATTAAAAAAATGTGACCGAATTTGTTTTCGACGAGCACCCAAATAAATTCCAATTAATTTCAACAAACAACAGCTTAAAATTGCTACTGGCCAATGACTTTTAATTAAGTTGCCTTTGCCAGCTGAAATTGATGTGTCCGCTATTTTTGTTGGTGTTGTTGCCGTTTCTGCTGTTGTTGTGGGGACGCATTTTCATACGTCTCAACTATGTAGCCGCTCTGGTTGCATGTTGTTGTTGTTGCCCTGTTGCTGTTGCTGCAAATAAAACGCAAGTGAAACTCGTTGAGTAACGCAGAAAATACCAACAAAAAAAAATAAATAAGGAGGGAAATAAATAAGCATGTTCAAGCGAAAGTGAATTATAAATGTTGAGCAGTTAGCCAAATATAATGAACAGTAAAAATGTACATAAAAATGAGCCAGACATTTGTTTATTTCCCATTTCACACTTTGTTGCGTGCGAGAATGTTGTTCGCCAACTGTCCAACTCCGAGTTGCCTACTCTCAGGGGCAACAGCAGTTCGGACTCTGCCCAAAACGAATCTGTTCGAATGGGCCACTGGGCGGCAGCTCACGTATAGGAAGGCGAATTGTGCTGGCTTACAAACTGTGAGTGTCTGGCAATTAAAGTTACAAACTTGGGTCAGAAAACTAACTAAAATGAAATATTATGGAAATTTTCTGCTCATTCGCACGCTTTAAAACCAAAAAAAAAACAATTCTCATATTTTTATGGTCTGTATTTTTATGACGGCATCTTTTACGTACTTTTCCATAAAGCACATGAAAAAAGTCTTCCATGCATATCTGGTAGAAGTGCGGTCAATTGGGCTTAAACATAAATTTGAACAGGTTTCCACACTTTTCGGAAAAATAATCCCAACTATTAAAATATATGTCTATAATTTGCTTTCGCCTTACCTAAAAAAAATATAATAAGAGCAACCGAGGACTACAAAATCTCCTATAGCAATAATCAAGTCGCGTGTAAGTCTAATTCGCTTGTATATTTTTATAAGCAGTTTAAAAGAAAAGAGTTATCTTAGTTATGCCTATCAGTAATTCATTATTAAGTTTTTTAGCATATGTTTTGATTGAGGCAGCGAGCAATTAGCAATGAATTCTCGTTAATAATATCTGACAGACAATACCCGACTCCGCCAGCTGAACGCAGCTATTCTTGATTCATGTTCACAGAACATATATATTACAAACGACATGTCACTAGTTAATTACAGGTATCTGTTTGTAGACTAAAAATATCATGATAAAAGGAAGGACATTTTTAGCTCGAAAAAGAGAAAAAAAAATGTATCATTGATGGAAATTGCTTACGTCCATGCGTCCATTGTTACGAAAAGCGAGAAAGAAAAACAACAATTTGCACAAATTGTTGAAATTTGCCTGAAAACACAAATTCGAGAACTTTCAAATAGCAATTTGGGTTCATTAGAGTTCACAATCAAGTGTTAAGAGTGCTTTTGCCACATAATGTGAAAGCAAATAAACTCACAAACTGCTGAGTGGACTGAAGCCTGGTATTAAATTGTTAGGCCTTAGGCAACGGCGGATATCCTTTTTACACTAGAAAAATAGGCTTCAACTGCCGCTGGGAGCAACAATAACAACAATATTCCCCCCGATTACTGACCGGAAATGACAGCCGGAAAATAGCAGCAGCATATGCCTGGCAACACGGCGATATTCTAAGTGGAACTATGCCCAAAAATAGGCAAATAGCAGTGGGCGTTACCTGATAATAGCCTGGCGACAATATCGGGAAGGAAATTGAATTACACGCCAATTGGAACACGTTATGCTCATTAAATATTAGCACACACAACCAGTTAATTAATTAACACGCTTCCAGGAAAAAGGCTTTCCGGTTTAGTTTTCGAGAAAACCAATTAGCTGTCTGCCTATATTAACCGTTCTTTCAGTCACCCAGCTTATTTACTTCTTATCATGAACTACTTAAACGGCATTCTATAGTAAAGATGGGGGTCTTTTCATGGTAAGCTTAGTGAGAAACTCTCACACTTAGGCCCAACGGTAAGCTTTAAAGGCCACACTGTTAGGGGTCAATTGCTGTGTCCTGGAATAAACTGATAAGCCGATAAACACAAAGTAGCGTCTGGTTTTAAAGCTCTTTTTAAATATACCAACGATTAACTGCGGCTTTTTGGGTCTGCGCCGCCCCGACCGATTGCCTAAATACTTTGACGCACAATATAAAAATACCATTGGCACATATTTTTGGCTGGCTGTGACATAATCTTTAATACGCCCAATGCCACCCACGCGCTCCGTCCTGGCTGTGCTCTTATCTCAAATACCTGGCATGCCAGGGCTGGCCCACGCTCAACCCTGCCTCTTTGAGTATTTTTGTTTAGTTTGCAGCCAACGGAAATGGCCGCAGGCTGCGCATTTCCAGTTGCCCTTTCTATATTTTATTTGTGCTAATATTCTCTTTATTGAAACGATATTGGGTAGGTCGTCGTCATCCCGAATGGTGGGCAAGGTCGTATGCGAGCAGGCGTCAACTAGCATGTGGCCTATAAATGGCCGGGACGTGCGAATAAATTCCATTTTGTGCAGCGCCAGCAACTAATGAAATGTTGCCTCGCATGAAACTAATGAAACGCTGCCCGCCAGGCAGATTCCTCATCGTCCATGTAAATTTAATTAAACTTATCAATTTTCGCAGTGCTGAGTGTCAGCCGCAAGTCAAACAATTGACAGCTGCTGACCATTGTCCTGGCCAGACCACACACATCATATGATATGTGATACAATGTGGCACACATACGGGCCGCAATGCCTGCAACCAGAAGCTGTCCTCATTCAAGCGTAAATGTCTGCAGCAGCAAAGTCTTAACGCAGCCTCTACAATTTCTGATAATAATGCATGACAAAACTATGAACAGTCGATGCGGCTTAGGCACATGCTGGTTGCTTAACCCGTTGCTAGCATAGCTATAAAAGACACTAGTCTACATAAATACAAATATATCCAGTTTCATAATCGAATGTTCAAAGTATCAATACTCTTGGTGTTATGGGTAGCTTATTTCAGCAGTTAATTAATGTCGCTTACGAAACCAAGTCCATATTTTTGTTTACCCACGTTTTCAAAATCATAAATCAGAGTCTAGAGAAAATAAATTTGGATTGCTTTTGACATGGTAACATGAAAAAAAAGAAGAGAGTGCTGTAAATAGGCAGAACCAAGATTTATAGGATAAGCACAAGATGAACTGTTATTGCTTACAAATTTTTGAAACAAAAGTAAATGAATCGAATATTGGAACTTTAAGAGCGCAATATATTATAAATATTATTCATATTATTCAGCATTGATCAAAATTGTACAATGATGCACGAGTTAAAGCTACCGATTTTTCAGCTTTTGTTACATTTTTCTAATAATATAGTTGGGGCTTCAAGTACGCTGTAGACCAGTGTGCTAAAGCGAAAGCTTTTAATCAGCTCAATATATGTAAATTTGAAAGTTTTGTGGACCGAAATAATTAGCATATTATGGAATTGACAAATATTACGCATACGATATGTGAGCTGTATTAATGTTTAAACGTATAAGGTTTTAAGAACTTTAGTAATTGATATAGTTATCCGTTTAATCTATAAGCATTTGCTTAAATTAACCCAGCTTAACGAAATTCAAACGATATCCACCTTAAAATGTTAGCTGCCCTTAGTTCACTCCCAATTATGGCACTTAATGGCCGGAAGAAAGTGCAGCTAATTAGAGGAAGTTTGTTTTAATGGATATCGAGCGGCACACATTGATTTCAAGCTTGGCGCCAATCCTTTTAGCTACAGCTGAACATATTCAAGTGCGGCATATCGTGGGGGCGTAGAACTTATAATGTTTTAAAGCAATGGGAATATGCAGGCAGACACATTCAGGTAATGTGGTCGTAACAGTTTTGGTCATGTTTTTTTATGAGAAAATTATGCAGAAAGTTCGGTAAACTCCTGGGCAAGGAGCAGTAGCCGACGCCTGCTGCTGTGGCCCCGTCAAAAAGGCTGCAACAAATGCAAAATTAATGCGGCACCTCCATTAAAACCAGCGGCGCGGCATAAAGCAAGCGGCACAGACATCATCATAACGTGCACGCGGCCCAAGCTCATTTAGCCGCCGTTCAGCTATGGAAATATTATTTATAAGCCAAGTCAAAGCAGTTACCTTTTCGGAAAAACGTGAACATCAGCAAAAAAAAAAAATATATATATATATAATAAAAAAAAAATTAAGGAAGGCTTAGCCCTTGGTCAGTTCATATGACGCATACGCAGCGTAATGGGTGGCACGTGACCTAGGCATAGAACAGCCAGCCTGGAGGGCCACTCGCCGGAGCATTGACCACTTAATGCATGATTATCTCTAATGAATATGCAATGCGCATAAAAACATTTTTCCTCAATTTTTTTTCTTTATTTGTGAATTCTCGCTGTGGTTCAAAGTCATAAAATTCACATAAAACATTTGTATGGTGCGGTAATTTGTCATTTTCAAATTGAATGCGGGCGGCAGGAGCAGCGCGTGAAAAGGGCGTGGAATGTTGTGTATTTAAATAAAAAGAAGAGCATAAATCACTGGCTGAATAGCGCTGACTCATTGTGGGCTTAAAACGGAATTAGTGAAAAATGTTTGAGAGATAAAGTTCAAAAGATTACACAACTTAAAAGAAGATTATATTCCGAGCCCCTTTTCCAACATTTAATTAGGTTCGTGTAGTTATTCAAATGTTTTTTTACTATGCATAGTACTATATTATTTGCTAGACTTAGACTGCGTCTAAAACAATTCGACATCCATTCCTCTAGCCAACAAGCCAGCCAATGACTAAGGCGGATGAATTAATGTTGGAATAAAAAAAAAATGTTTTATAAAACTGAATGCAATTTAATTTTTTAAATAATATTAAAAGTTAAAGTGCATTTATATTTAAATTTATTTAATAAATAATTTGTGTTTTTGAGATTCTTAACCAAATGCCAAGATATGGCCGAGTGTTATAGAGAGAAGTGAAACATTTTATTTTCGATAAAACTTTTTTGTTTTTTTTGTTGTTGTTGTATTTTGTCATTAATTTCATTTATTATCAGTTTTATTGTTTCTTCAATTAAAAAGTTTTAATATTTATTCCGTTTGGGGTCAGCCAGGCTCTGTGGGAAAATTTAAGGCACAGTCTTGGCGCAAATTTAGGCGAGTTTCGTTGACAAAATGA